GGGGAATTCTGGGAGTTGAAGTCCACCCGTCTTAAAGTTGCCAAGGTTGAGGAACCCTGAACTAAAGGATCAATGCATAGTTTCAATGAAAACCTCACATCGAACTTTTAAGTTGAAATCCCATTGGCTCAAGGCAAATCAGCTTACCTGCTCAGTTTCCAGTTGGTTTTGCCATTTTCTCTCTGTCTCTTAGAACCCATGGCAACGTCTAGTAAAGAGGATGACCCGTTTCTTTTTGAAATTGGATGCTGACCAGTCTTACCAAGTCTTGAAGGAGGTTTGTGAAAAGATGGGCTACATCTGGAAGAAAGGCTGCACAAACCAGGTATGAAAATAACAAATAACACTTTGAAGGATATACATTGGTTGAATAAACAAATCAAGAATAGAGTTAGAACTGCACGTGTACCGTACAGTTTGTTGCAATCCTTAGGCTTTACTTCACCTTGCAAGTAATGATTAAGAAAAATGTAGCCTCTGCTCATTGTCTTGCTGTAGGATTTTTTTCTTTTTATTTCTCTCAGGGTGTTTACTTGTGTCTACCTAGTAGCGGGAGACGTTCCTTGTTTACTCAAGAATGTTGTTTGGGAGAAAACCATTTATAAGGCTGCTGTGTCCTTCAGTAAAGAGCATACGTGATTGTAATGCACATTACACATTGTGAGACTTTCTGTCAGCCCCACTAGGTAGACTGGAAGATTAACGTTACTTCTTCCCTTCTGATCAATAATTCTTTTTCTTGTAAGGTCACCATATCAACCATGGATAGAAGAAACAACAAACTAATTTTCAAAGCAAATTTGGTGGAAATGGATGAGAAAATCCTTGTGGATTTCCGACTGTCAAAGGTAAGTCCAATTTAGCAATATGTGTAAGCCCAGGTAGAAGAAAGAAGTTTGGGCACTTAGAAAAGATTTGTTTAACAAAAAAAGTAGTAGTAGTAGTAATAATGCTTCTATTCTGCTTCAGTTATATGACTCTAAGTAGCTTATAGTATACAACTCAAGCATTAATTATAAATCAACATTTATTAAAATTATTAAACCTGCACACTTATACTATCTTAGATAGTAAGAATTTGACCTGATCATCCTTTCATTTCTAATCTCTAAAGGAGTTTTTTTAGGTAATATTTTTCTTATTGGTTTATAGGATACCAAATACTGTATGTCAAAATCCTGTATTTTGTACTGTAACAATACTTTGAAGCTGAACTGTTTTTTTATTCCCTTCCTCATGCAGGGTGATGGTTTGGAGTTCAAAAGGCATTTCCTGAAGATCAAAGAGAAACTAAATGATGTTGTCAGCCCACAGAAGTTATGGCTTCCAGTGACATGACTGCATTGTGGTTGAAAAACAAGTGAATTTGGCTGCAGTATTTTCAGCCATAGGACAGTTTATGCCAGTGTTTCTCAACCTTCACCACTTGAAGATGTATGGACTTCAACTCCCAGATGTGTGGACTTCAATTCCCCATGGCTGGCTGGGGAATTCTGGGAGTTGAAGTCCACACATTTTCAAGTGGTCAAGGATGAGAAACACTGGTTTGTGCTAAGGCATGCTCTGACTTCACACACTCAGTGCCCATTCCTCTTGGCTCTCAAATGATCAGTAACCTATTGGGAAATTAATATTGCGATGGGACATAATTACATATTTTTCCTAGGATAACTGATAGTCATGAGAGTTTCCAGTGCCTTCGATTGCTCAGGCTTTTAGTTTGCATTCTACTTTATACAGATAATTCAAATATTTTGACAAGCCATCTTTTCTAGATGGGAATGTTTTCTTCTTTTTTCCAAAGTGTTATTCAAGCATACAAACTGAACTTTTGCAGAGAGTAGGAGGAAATTAAATTAAAACCAACTCCAAGCAACAACTTATTTTGTATACTTGGGTACAGAGGTGTAGAATTTTCAAAACCCAGCATGAACTCCATATCAGAACACTTGGCTTAGCTTGTGATTATTTTTCTGGTCAAGTGTTGCTGAAAAAAAAAAGTATTACTATTCTACTTAAATTTTTAATTTTTCACTTGGAAGAAATTAGAAAACATTACAGATGTTATTAACGCGATTCATTAAAATAATTTTCTATTTCCAATGTCTCCTCCTTCCCATAAAAATCATCTGTCTTGTTGAGCACTGAAATAGAAATGTGTAAATAGGAGGAAGTGGGATAATATTAGCAATTTCGCCTGCATCCCATCACTCTTAGTCTGTTAGAAGTTCCAGGTGTTTCAGGCTCTTGTTACCATGTGTCTGACTGACGCTGCTTGACTGTACCATTGTGGACACAGAGAAGAATGGAGAGAAGAGACAGAACCCTCAATTCTCACCATGCTGCTGACCACTCTGACTTAACCATGTTCAGCAATGTGATCTTTTAAAGGGCCTCAGAGGAAATAAAGCAACGAATGAAAGTATTTGTCAATCTTATTGCCACCAAAGAGGAGGACCTCAACAATTTCTTGCAGTTCCCCTGTGTTTCAGCTATCTTGCAATAGTACTGAAGGATTTCTGAACAACTCTATGTGGTAAATTGAGAAGATACTGTGGTCCTACAAATTTGGTCAAAATAAATACGCTAACACAGTTTATGGGTGCCCGTGTTTTGTGGCTTGTATAGCTTGTGTATATTTGTGAGATTGAGTCATTAGATTTAT